TGACTTCAGGGACTGGGCCTTCTGCGCACCAGATTCTGCTGCAAAGAAAAAAGACAGAGCTGCATTTCCTAATTACGCCTTGCTTCGTTACATATGCCTCAGCAGTACCCGTTTCCCAGACAACCGTGTTTTATGGCAAACCACCCTCTTTCCCTCTTTGTTTTGTTTCCTTCTGGGCTTTTGGGAAAATGCCTTGGTAAAAAAATAAAATTGGTTAGGGGGAGTTGCTGGAGAGAGTTGTTGAGCCTTCAGGGGTGCCGCTCCCTCCTCTCTGAGTAGCGCATCAACACAGGCTCAGGTCTGTGGAGGGTGAAATGATCTGTTTATGAAAAATATGGACCACTCTTTCGTTAAAGCCATTGCCAACAAAAATGCATGGAACCACACAGTTACAAGCGGGCGTCAATTAAACATGGAAGGGTGTCTTAATTGCTTGCAGAGGCCTGGCAGAATAGGAAAGTTTTCCACAAGCTTTTAAAAGTTGGAAGGCGCCTATGGAATCTCCAGTTGCAGAGAGTTCCGCAGGGCTGGGCCAATGACTCTCAAGGTTCAGTTCCTTGTTGCCTCACAGATTCATGGAATGAGCAAAGCCTGTGGATGATCTCAGTGACAGAACTGCGATATAAGGATTCAGACTGTCCCCGCAGTACCCTGGACCTAAGATGCTCAGGGTTTTGTGAATTAACGTCTCTTGAGAATGGATTTCCTTGCAAAGCGTTAGGCAAAAAAAGCCCTTACAACTTTCTACAGGCCTTTGGTGGTTTTGATTTCATTTTAGTGAAACCGGGAGCCAGGGCAGTGTTGCAATTGCCCAGGGGGAGAGGGAAGAAAACTAAATGAAACATTGTTACATATCTGTTTCATGTAATTTAGACACCGCTCTTGACTGTAAAACAACCAAAACCCTCAAAGCAGTTTACAAGCAATAAAATTCTCAGTAAAACAACTCCTTAAAAACATTCAAAAAATTAAAACCAACAACAGATTAGAACACATGCCAACATTCTACATATCTGGATGAAACAATAATGTCTTTAGCGGGTGCCGAAAAGAGTCCAGTTGAAAGCGTCTGCTTGGTGTCAAGAGGCGGGGAGTTCCAAAGTTTAGCTGCTGCCACACTAAGCAATTGAATTCTTACAAATTCAGAACGGGGATGCTGTGGCCCCGGGAGCAGTGCCAGTTCCGCCCATTGAAGCAGTCATGGATGGGGTAATAATGGCACAAGCTTATGCATGTCTACTCAGAAGTAAGCCCTACTATGTCCAATCATGGTTTTCCTCCTAGGTAAAGCCTGTATATAGGGCCTCAGCGCAAGGGGGCCGGTCTCCGAAACAGCCACAGATTACACACTCCCCAGTCTTGTCCCTATGTGCTGGGAAGCAAGTGGCGTGGAGTTCCATAGGGCCACCTCCCTGGAAATGGTGCCTAGCACTGTGGCTTAATACAGCATGACTCTGGAAAGGGTGGAAGAATAAGAGGTAGCTCAGGGACAGTGCCTCTGCCTGAAATCCCAGAGAGCCGTTGCTGCCAGTCCGTGTGGGCCACCTTGAGCTAGGTAGGCCCAGGGCCTGACTCTGCATAAGGCATCTCCCTCTGCTGCAAGTGTCAGCTGTGGGACAGACCATCAACTTTGACCGTGATTCTGTTCCTCTTTGCTGGAAATTGGGATAAGAGCGTGCTTTGGGGGGGGGGTACGCAGAATTTATTTGGGAGGAGGTGTGTGATTGCAAACTGCCCAGCAATCTGTTGAGTGTTCGATTTAGCTGGGGTCAGGCTGGATGACCCTCAGGGGTCCCTTTCACCTCTACTATTCTATGATTCTGTGACTGAGGTCTCAAAAAGATTCTCTGTGCTTGGGGCCTTGGCTTCCTGCATTGCAGGGGGTTGGACTTGATGGCATTGGGGTTCCCCACCCCCCCAAACCTTCAGTTCTGTGACCCTTTCCTTCCAACTGACTTGTAAGGTAGCCTTGAGGGTGAAACTGGCAGAGAGAGGGCTCCTGTTGTTGCATCATTCAGTTTGTACAAACACACCACACACACACACACACACACACAAGACATAAGCAATGTTTCTGTTATAAATTCATAGAAAATCAACCATACATCGGATTTACACCGTTCCACTTTTATTTTACTCCATGAAAGAAGGACTATAAAATGGGGAAGGTTTGATACAGGGCAGCCATAATCCCTTCAGCATCCCAGCACACCCACAGGAGCCCTGCCCAGTTGCTATGCCAACCCTGATGGTCCTAGACAGAAGACCATCAATGTCACAAAGAACTTGCATATGGGAGTGGATTCAGCACGGACTGAAACAAAGGACAATGATCAGATCTTCCCTCTGGGGGCAGGAAACTGGAAACTCCCCTCTGTCACCTGGAAAGTACTCAAGGGGGAACCAGCCAGGTGACAGGACACTCAGGTTACCACCACAACTCCTCCCTCAACCCCTCCTTTTTTGTGATGTAGTTGTGATGTAGTCTTAGGGGTGTAGTTTGGAGGATTAGTAACTAATAAAAGTTGGGGTCTTCTTTTGTTCTGGACTTCCATCTTGCTTCATCTTGCAGTGAGTGGGAGTCCTGTCGCGACAGTTTCCAATAAAGGCCAAGCCTACAGGCTGCTGTTTTGCTCCAAGTTATCCTGGTTGGTGTCTTTGTTTTTGTCCAAGGGAGCCCTCGGATTTCTCCGTTAACACTGTTTAGGTGGGAGAAAGAAGCCCCACTGAGCTCAAATGCTGCCGACTCCCGGAAGACTGGAAATAATGTTTGGAGACTTTGGGGCGGGTGGGGAGGGGGGAGCAGCGGCAAACTTGGCCCTCGCCTTTTCTGAGGAATCGTTTCCGTGTGGACATTAATTCACGTAGTCCATTTCATAATTGGCTTCTTCAAAGTGGACGACTTCGTAGTCCACGTCTGTCCGTTCCTTTGAGACAGGGTATTGTGCGGATTTGGCTTTCTTGAAGTGATGATAATAGAGGGAGAAGAGGGGGACGGGCGTGAGGATGATTTTGGCAACCCAGTAGCAGAGCACCACGAAAAGTCCTGCGGAAGGGAGAGGGAGAGAGAGAATTGTTTCATGTTTGTTTATTGGGAAATCACATAAACTAATTTAGCCCCAAACCACAAACTCTCCCAAGTGCTGTGCAAAGAGAGGAGGCAAAGGATTGGCTTAAAACCACCAATATAAGGACGTGGGAAGAGCCTGCAGGATCAGACCCATCCAGCCAAGCATCCTAATCTCTCAGGGACCGGATACTCCTAAGGACCTAGGACTCTGGATAGACTGCTCCTGCACCTGGAGTTTCCACAAGAAGACAGGAAGAGCCTGGCTGCTGCCGGATCAGGCCGAAGGGAGCCCATCCAGGCCAGCCTCCTCACCAGGTGCCCCAAAGGGAAGCTTAGTGGCAGGATCCGAGCACAAGAGCAACTCTCTCCGTCCTGCAATTTCTAGCAACTGGCATTCAGAACACTGCTGCCTCCAGTTGTGGCCAGTCGCCCTCCCTAGCCCTCTCCTCCTCCATGAATTTGCCCAGTCCTCTTTTAAATCCATCCAAGTCGGTGGCCATTGCTGTCCAGTGGGAGGGAGTTCCATAGGTTAACTCTGTGCTGCTGTGAAGAAAGACTTTCTTTTATCCTAAGGAGATAAGCAGTTGGCTCCTTATCTCTCTCGCCCTGACCTAGCCACTGTGATCCACGCGGCGGTCACCTCCAGACTGGATTATTGTAACTCGCTCTACGTGGGGCTGCCCTTGAGACTGACCCAGAAACTCCAGCGGGTGCAGAATGCCGCGGCGAGACTCATTATGGGGTCTTCGCTGCGAGATCATATCCATCCGGTATTATACCAGCTGCACTGGCTCCCGGTGGAGTACAGGATCAGGTTTAAGGTGCTGGTTTTAACCTTTAAAGCCCTATATGGCCTAGGACCCTCGTACCTACAGGACCGCCTCTCCTGGTATGTCCCACAGAAGAACTTATGGTCTGCAAATAAAAACATCTTGAAGGTCCCAGGCCACAAAGAAGTTAGGCTGGCCTCAGCCAGAGCCACGGCTTTTTCGGCTGTGGCTCCGATCTGGTGGAACGCTCTGTCACGAGAGACTAGGGCCCTGAGGGACTTTACATCTTTCTGCAGGGCCTGCAAGTTGGAGCTGTTCCACCCGGCCTTTGGCCAAGGCACAGTCTGACCCCCTCCTTCTGTAATTCTCATAAAACTATAGCCCATGGTTGCCATTAATTTGATTTAAAATGAAATGATTTTAGAATGCTGTGCTACTTTTATTGTTGTTAGCCGCTCTGAGCCCAGCTTCAGCTGGGGAGGTGGGATATAAATAATAAAAAATTATTATTATTTTATGATTATCCATCCTGAGTCTGCCAATGGTCAACTTCCTTGGATGCCCATGAATTCTAGTTTTAGGAGGGAAGGAGAAAACCTTTCCTCTCTCTGCTTTCTCCATGCCAGGCATTATTTTAGGAACTTCTGCCGTGTCCCTTGCATCGTAGGGGGTTGGTCTAGATGACCCTTGGGGTCCCCTCCCAACTCTACCGTTCTTTGATTCTGCGATTCCCTGAAGGCATTTACCTGAAGCCTTGACCCCGCAGTCTTCGTAGGGAGAGATGTCCCATCTCACCTGGACCCCAAGAGCCTTCGCGCCGCATGAGTAGGACTGATGCGCATCTGTGGGGCTCATGACGAGGTCGAGGCGGCTGCTTTGGGAAAGTGGGGCCCCCGTCACCGTGAGAGTCCAGTTGTAGGTCACGTTGGCCATCTTCCCGGCCCCCAACTCGCAGAACAAAGTGCAGGAGCTGATCTCCCACCACATTTTGGTGATGTTGATGCCTGCAGAGGGGCAGGGAAAGGTGGGGGGGGCGGGAGATGGGCAAGAATTGGGGGGCAGAGAAAGAAGCACGTCATTCTATTCCCTCCCCAACCCTTTATGGGACTGAATCTGGCCACAGTGAGCCAACTGTGTGATGCAGCAGCAAAAAAGGCTAAGGCTATTCTAAGCTGCCTCAACGGAAGTCTAGTGCCCAGATCAAGTGGTAGCACTACTGTATTCTGCCTTGGTCAGACCCCACCTGGAATATTGCGTCCATTTTGGGGCTCCTCAGTTTGAGGAGGAGATTGAAAAGCTGGAAGGTGTGCAGAGGAGGGCGACTGAGATGGCCAAGGGTCTGGAAACGATGGAGAAGATACGATAATCTTGATTGTCATTGTCCCATGCAGAACAACAAATTTAAAAAATCTACATCAGACATTCTAAAACCAACAAGCCTGCTATCCCAGCCTGGTTAGCCCCCTAAAAACTCTGATACCCCATAATTAAATACAATATACTCCCATAGGGACTCCTTACACTGCATTTAAAACCAAAATTGCATTTGGATAGAAACTGTTTCTCAGGTGGCTAGTCCTAGTCTTTATAACCCTGGACCTTCTTCCAGAAGGCAGAAGCTGAAAGAGATCATTTCCAGGGTGCACACTATCCTGCGCTATCTCTGCCGCTTTCTTATGGCACCTGGAAGCATAGATTTGATCCAAGGTGGGAAGAGTGCATCCCAATTATTCTATCTGCAGTCTTTGCAACCCTGGACAGCATTGTTTTTTCCCTGACCATGCAGCTCCCAAACCACACACAGAGACCATAAGTTAATACACTCTCCACAGTACAATGGTCAAATGCCATCAACAGGTCCTTTGAGAGATTGTTTTTCCGGAGGATTCTCAGAAAATATAACCTCTGCTGTGCTCTCTTCAGGAGACGGAGAGGAGATTTGATGGCCATCTTCAAATATCTCAAGGGTCATGCCGTGGAAGACAGAGCAGGCTTGTTTTCTTCTGCTCCGGAGGGCAGGACCCCAGCCGACAGATTCAAATTTCAAGAAACGAGATTTTGACGAAACTAGGAAGAACTTTCTGCCAGTAGAGCTGCTTGACAGCAGAAGGTGGCGGGCGCTCCTTCCCTGGAGGTTTTTGAGCAGAGGCTGGATGGGCATTTGTGAGAGATGCGTGAATTGCAATTCCTGCATTGCAGGGGGGCTGGACTAGATGACTCCTGGGGTAATTATTATTATTATTATTATTATTATTATTATTATTATTATAATAATAATACCCCGCCAATCTTGCTGGGTTTCCCCAGCCATGCTTCCAACCGAATATTAAAAACAATACAGCGTCAGACATTTAAAACTTCCCTAAACAGGGCTGCCTTCAGTTGTCTTCTAAAAGTAAAATAGATGTTTATTTCCTTGACATCTGCTGGGAGGGCGTTCCACAGTTCAGGTGCCACCACTGAGAAGGCCCTCTGCCTGGTTCCCTGTAACTTGGCTTCTCACAGGGAGGGAACCGCCAGAAGGCCCTTGGCGCTGGACCTCAATGTCTGGGCTGAATGATGGGGTGGAGACGCGCCTTCAGGTATACTGGACCAAGGCCATTTAGGGCTTTCAAGGTCAGCACCAACACTTTGAATTGTGCTCGGAAATGTACTGGGAGCCAATGTAGGTCTTTCAAGACCAGTGTTATGTGGTCTCGGCAGCTGCTCCCAGTCACCAGTCTGGCTGCCACATTCTGGATTAGTTGTAGTTTCCGGGTCACCTTCCTGGGTAGCCCCACATAGAGCGCATTGCAGTAGTCCAAGCGGGAGATAACCAGAGCATGCACCACTCTGGCCAGACAGTCCGTGGGCAGGGAGGGTCTCAGCCTGCGTACGAGGTGGAGCTGGTAGACAGCTGCCCTGGACACAGAGTTGACCTGCGCATTCATGGACAGCTGTGAGTCCAAAATGACTCCCAGGCTGCGCACCTGGTCCTTCAGGGGCACAGTGACCCCATTCAGGACTAGGGACTCCTCCACACCTGCACACCTCCTGTCCCCCCCAAAACAGTACTTCTGTCTTGTCAGGATTCAACCTCAATCCCTTAGCGGCCATCCATCCTCCAACTGCTCCAGACACTCACACAGGACCTTCACCGCCTTCGCTGGTTCCGATTTAAGAGAGAGGTAGAACTGGGTGGCCTTAGAAGGGTAATGGGGGCATTCATGGAGGGGGAGGGGGCTCTGTTCTGCCTCTGGAGTTGGAGGCAGCAAGGCTCCCAAATGTCCCTTCTGGAAACCGCAGGAGGGGGAGCTGGTCTTGCTGGTCGTGAATCCTGCACGATGGTTTCCCTTTGAGGCAACTGGCTGGCCACTGTGAAGACAGGAGGCTGCACTAGGTGGGCCACGGCCTTGATGTTGCAATGCGACAGTTGATTGGCTTCCTCTCCAGAACCTGGAAGTTTGACTCAGCGAGTCTTCGTGGAAGAAGAGATCTGAGTCTCTGAGAGGAGCAAGCTGGTTTCTTATCAGCAGAGACGCAGTTGAGCCCCTCGCAGGAAACCAGTCAGCAGCAGGGTAGGAAAGCCTCTCATCAGGCCCTGGGCTCTGCGTTCTTGTCTAAAGATGGTTTTGCTCACACACCCCCAGGCATCACACTGCAGGCGGGTCCCCTTTCCTCTTATCTTTCTACACGAATCATGCAACTGTTTCAGCTAATTGCTTCTCTGAATTTGTATTATTTCCTGCAGCGTGCAGGTATGTCATTTGGGGGGGGGTGAGGGGCTGCTGCTGGCCCTGGATTCATCTGCAGGATTTTTTTTGGGGGGGAGGAAAAATAGAGCACTGGAAAGTGGGGAGCAGTGTACTTCCTCAACTCCCCCAAATAATAGTACATGCACATTTTGCCTTGTGAGAAGACCCACCTAGTGCAGCATCCTGCACTCACAGTGGCCAAATGTCCCTAGGAACCTAGGAACCCAGATAGACTGACTCTGGACCTGGAGGTTCCATAAGAACAGAAGAACCACCTGCTGGGTCAGGCCAAAGGGGGCCCTCAAGTCCAGCCTCCTCTTCTAACAGATGCCTCTTTTAGGAAACCTGCAAGCGGCACCTGGGCACAAGAGCAACTCTCCCTTCCTGCCATCTCCAGCACCTGGTTCTCAGAAGCACTGCTGCCTCCAACTGTGGGGGCAGAGCCTAGCCATTGTGGCTAGTAGCCGTCGATAGCCCTCTCCTCCTCCATGAATCTGTCCAATCCTCTTTTTAAAGCCACCAAGTTTGGTAGCCATCACTGCCTCCTGCGGAAGGGAGTTCCACAGTTTTAACTACCATATTTTTCGCTCCATAAGGGGAAATGTCTGTGCGTCTTATGGAGCGAATGTTACAGATAGGTAGCCATGTTGGTCTGCCATAGTCAAAACAAAAAAAATTCCTTCCAGTAGCACCTTAAAGACCAACTAAGTTAGTTCTTGGTATGAGCTTTCGTGTGCATGCACACTGTGTATCTGAAGAAGTGTGCATGCACACGAAAGCTCATACCAAGAACTAACTTAGTTGGTCTTTAAGGTGCTACTGGAAGGAATTTTTTTTGTTTTGATTATGGAGCGAATGTGTGGTCCCTGGAGCCAAATTGCCCAGGGGAGAAAAGCAGATCATGCTCTTTCTTTTTTTTTGAAAGAGGGAAATGGGTGTTGAAACAAAGCCGCTGATCTGCAAGAGATCGGGGAGGGAGATAAGGGACGCTAGAGATAAAGGAGGCTGCCTGGGAGGGGGGAGGTAAAAGCCCATGGATCCTCAGGATTTTTGCATTGGGCCACCCCAAATTCACCATCAGATCACATAGATGTCCATGGCTACAGCCTGCACCAAAAAAACCACACACCCACTGTTGCTTGGGGCCACAATGGTGCAAAAACATGGTTACAAAGCATGGATCCACATGGATCCTCAGGATTTTTGCATTGGGTCACCCCAAACTCACCGTCAAATCACATGTCTGTGGCCACAGCATGAACCACAAAAATCATGCATCCACTGTTTTGTTCAGAATATTTTTTTTCTTGTTTTCCTCCTCTAAAAATTAGGTGTGTCTTATGGAGCGAAAAATACAGTATGTGCTGCATGAAGAACTTTATTTTGCCAGTCCCGAATCAAGTGGCTGTCTCTGTAGCCCAAGATACAGACCCCACATCCTCGATAATGCCCCTTATTTTTCCAACCCATGAGCTGAATCTCTCTAACACCAACTTTTCTCTAAACTACTCCTCCTGGCAACATTTCCCTGAAGATCTACTGGTGCCACAAATAGCAACTCCCATTCGGAGTGACCCCCGCATTGCAGGGGGTTTGGACCCTTGGGACTCCCACCCAACGCTACATTTCTACGATCCTACGGTTCCCGAGGAAGCCTTGCTGTGCCCTCAGAACTTACGAAATATGAACAGTGTGTAATTTTTTAAGATGGTCTCGTGGGGGACGACTCCCATCACGACTTCGTAGGGTCCACCGTCTGCCAGGGTCAAGTTGCGTATTTGCAAGACATTGTTCTCCTTGGAGTAGTTCACTCTCCCAGAATACTCAGCGTCGATGACAAACAAGGGGTGCTGGGGGGTCCACAGAGCCAGTGCCTTCTTCCTCGACAAAGACTTCCAGTTCAAGAAGAGCGTGGAGATGTTCTGGGTAGGAATCTCAAGGGGCAACGTGACGGACTCCCCAAAACCTTCGACAAGGTTCACCCCTCCTGTGTCATCCATCCCTGGGGCAACAAACCAAGAAGGGGCAAGATCAGTGCCGGATTTACGTATAAGCTAAACAAGCTGTAGCTTAGGGCCCCACTCTCTTGGGGGCCCCCAAAAAATGTAAAGGAAGAAAAACCTAAATGTACATTTCCAAAATACAGTGGTACCTCGGGTTAAGAACTTAATTCGTTCCGGAGGTCTGTTCTTAACCTGAAACTGTTCTTAACCTGAAGCACCACTTTAGCTAATGGGGCCTCCCGCTGCCGCCGCACAATTTCTGTTCTCATCCTGAAGCAAAGTTCTTAACCAGAGGTACTATTTCTGGGTTAGCAGAGTCTGTAACCTGAAGTGTCTGTAACCTGAAGCATCTGTAACCTGAAGCATCTGTAACCCGAGGTACCACTGTATAGGATAAAAAACAAATACAGTGGTACCTCGGGTTACATACGATAACCTCGGTGGTACCTTGGGTTACATATGATATAAGAAAATTTGAAGAAAACTTTTGTTTAAAAAACAGTGAATTTTCTAAATATAGAAAAAAATTTAAAAACTGTCCAGTAGCACCTTAGAGACCAACTAAGTTTGTGTTTGGTATAAGCTAAGTTTGTTCTTGGTATTTGCAAGCACATGAAAGTATATACCAAGAACAAACTTAGTTGGGCTCTGAGAAGCTTTTCTGTTAGATATAAGAAGTGGGGAACTACCAAAAGAAAATAAAAGACTGTTTATGTATGCAACGACGGCAGCCCAGAGACGGCCTAGCCCAGAGATGGAAAGAAGTACCAACCAGAGGAGCGTGGCAGACCAAACTGATGGAATATGCAGAAATGGCAAGACTGACGGGAAAGTTCAGAAACCAGGAAGACCCAAGTATTCTTAAAAGATTGGAATAACTTCTTAATATACTAAAAAGACCACTGTAGACAGTTGAAATCATTGCCAGAGATACAGTGACACTCGTAAAGTGAAATGAACTTTGGTTACTATATATAATAGATGGATAACAGTAAAAGATGCAGGAAAAAAGAAAAAGATAATTTTTTTAGAATTGGAACCCATGGGGGGAGGGAAGGAGGTGTGAAGGTTTGAAAGAATCTTTTCTATTTTTATGTTTTGGAATGGTTACAGTTATTGTGTATAACCTTATGTAAAACTACTGTAATAAAAATATTTTTAGAGAGAGAGAGAGAAAGGCAAGGGTGTTGCATGATGGAGCAGAGAGAGAGAGTCTCCCAGATTTTACTCACTTGCAGCTTGGAAGGTGCAGAGGAGGAGGAGGAGGAAGAAGACCACGAGGGGCTCCATGCCAGTCTCTCTGGAGAGATTGGGGCAACGATCCGATGTGCGAAGAGCCTGGGAAGCTCAGAGGGGCAGCCGCCTCTCCCTCCCCTTTCTGGCCCAAAGCAAGGGGGGAGTGGCTTCCTCCTGCCCGCCTTCTTGAAGGTCAGGCCAAGGAAGCCAGGGTGGCCCTTGGGGGCACGTATCCCACACCACAGGGTTGCCAGAGGACTCCCCTTTGGGCTCTGAGCACCTTCCAGAAAGTGCAAGGAGACGCCCTTGCTGGTTCTGTGTAACGGAAGAATGAAGGATGAGAGGTTGCAGAAGATGAAGGAGGAGCAGCCAGCCTCGCCTGACGTCACGTCCTTAGGTGTGGCCCCTGAGGGCCCACAGGGCTTGGAGAGGGCCTTGGAGGCAGATCTAAATCCCTGGGCCATGGGGGGCAAGGTGTCTGTCAATGAGCAGCTTGACTCCTGGCCGTTGTGAGGTTGTGCGCACACCATACATCTGAAGCACACTGGAAGCACATTTGGCTCCTCAAAGAATCCTGGGAACTGTAGTTTAAGGGCGCTGGGAATTGTAGCTCTGTGAAGAGTAAGCTGCGGGGCTTGAAATCGAAATGTGTTCATTTGCGGC